AAAGTTGAGACTGACAGTCAGGGTTCACCTAAAAGAGGTACCTACAAGCAGTGGTATGGCCTGTAGCTCCAGGTACCTGTGAGCCTGTGGTGGGAAGACCACATGAATTCAGGAGTCTGAGGCTATAGTGCAACAGGACTGTACCTGTGTGTAGTCCTTGCACTACAGTCTGGACAATACAGCATAGACCTCATCTCAAAAGGAAAAAAAAAAAAAAAAAAAACAGGAGGAACCTGCCTTCTGAGAGGGCAAGAAAACAAAGGACAAGGACCTAACACAGGCTATGAACAAAATCAGGGTTTTCAAGGAACTTTCTGGATGCTGGAAATGTCCAATCATTATCTTGATCTGGGTCATGGTCCCCCAAGTGCATACATCTGTTAAAGTTTACCCAGCTTGGCTCAGTGCCTGTGGCTCAAGTGGCTAAGGTGCCAGCCACATACACCTAAGGTGGTGGGTTCGAATCCAGCCCGGGCCCACCAAACAACAATGATGGCTGTGCAACCAAAAAAAATAGCCAGGCGTTGTGGTGAGCGCCTGTGGTCCCAGCTACTTGGGAGGCAGAGGCAGGAGACTCACTTGAGCCCAGGAGGTAGAAGTTGCTGTGAGCTGTGATGGCATAGCACTCTACCCAGGATGGTAGCTTAAGGCTATGTCTCAAAAAAAAAAAAAAAAAGAAAAGAAAAAAAGAAAGTTTACCCAGCTTTGGGTGGCACCTGTGGCTTAGTGGGTATGGTGCCAGCTCCACATACCAAGGGTGGCGGGTTCAAACCTGAACCAAGCCAAACTGCAACAAAAAAATAGCCAGGTGTTGTGGCAGGCGCCTATAGAACCAGCTACTCAGGAGGTTGAGGCAAGAGAATTGCCTAAGCCCAGAGAAGTTGGAGGTTGCTGTGAGCTGTGTGACACCAAGGAACTTTACTGAGGGCTATAAAGTGAGATTCTATCTCTACCAAAAAAAAAGTTCACCCAGCTATACACTGTCAATCAAGTTAAAAATGTACCTGAAAACGGCAAATGAATGGTAGATGGTAAAACCACCAGCTCTTACTGTTGGAGTGGGAGTTTGCAGATAAACAGGGAGAGAAGGCCAGAGTAAGCCAAGTGATAAAAGACAAGAGGTGGAGACAAGCATACGAACTCGTGCTTAGCTAATACAGACGCAGATGGGTACATGTGGCAATACGTACAGGTATGTGAGTATACCCACGTTTCCCTGCACTAGAACCACAGACACCCCAGCAGCAATGACCACACAAGATCGTGCCCAGATCTTGGATTCTACTATGTTCTCCAACAACAGATACCAGAGTCACTGGAGAAATGGCCAATTCTATGGCTGAGCTCACAACACGTACAAGATGAGAGCCTAGGACATCTTACAGCACCAGAAAGTAAGACAGTGCTCAAAAAGCAAATAAATAAACCCCATAATCACCAGGTCTTTCAGGGGGACACAAAGGCCAACAAAAAGAGCTTCCGACAGCCAAAGCTGGAATAACAGGAGCAATAAATTAGTAACACTGGATCATAACTCAGAGTGTAAGGTAAGTGTCCTTGAGTCTAACAGAGACAAATTAGCCCACGTAGATTCCAACTAATGTATGTGGATGCTCTGTTCTCCAGGAGATGGAGCATAATTCCTTACTCCTTACATGTGACATGGGCTGCACATTGTGACTTCCTTCCAAAGAGCACGGTCCGGTGACCTCCAAGGGCAGAAAGAATGTAAGTAATACTAATAATAATAAAAGAAAAGGAGGAAACCACACCCAGATAATCAAATCAGCCTCCTATATGCCTTTGATATGATGTAATGAACATAGCATTTTACCTCTGTGGTCTTACACCCCCAAGCCCATAACCCCAGTCTATCAAGGTCCAATCATGAGAAACATCAAACAAATCCCAACTGAGAGACATTCTACAAAATACCTTATCAGTGCTCCCCAAAACTGTCAAGGTCATCAAAAACAAGCAAAGCCTGAGGAACTGTCACAGTCAAGAGGAACCTAAGTAGATATGACAACTAAATGTAATGTGATATCTTAGTGGAAAAACTCGGGAAATCTGCACAATTGGTAATAACAAGCCCACACTGACTCATCATGACAAATACACCATCCTAATGCATCATAATAGTAACAGGGGACATGACCACAGGAACTCTCTCGGCACTACCTTCACAACTTTGCTGAAAATCTAAAATGAAGGCCAGGCGGGGTGGCTCATGCCCATAATCCTAACACTCTGGGAAGCTGAGGCAGGTGGATTGCTTGAACTCAGGAGTTCGAGACTAGCCTGAGCAAGATCGAGACACTGTCTCTAAAAATAGCCAGGTGCTATGATGGACGCCTATAGTCTCAGCTATTCAGGAGGCTAAGGCAAAAGTTTGAGGTTGCTGTAGCTATGACCCCAGGGCACTCTACCAGGGCAAGAGTGAGACTCTGTCTCAAAATAAATAACCCTAAAATTAAAAGTCAACATTTTTTTTTTGAGACAGAGTCTCACTATGTCATCCTCAGTAGAGTGCTGTGGCATCACAGCTTACAGCAACCTCCAACTCTTGAGCTTAAGTGATTCTCTTGCCTCAGCCACCCAAGTAGCTGGGACTACAGGCGCCGGCCACAACGCCCAGGTATTTTTGTTGTTGTTGCAGTTGTCGTTGTTGTTTAGCAGGCAGGCCCGGGCCAGGTTCAAACCCGCCACCCTCGGTGCATGTGGCTGGTGCCGTAATCACTGTGCTATGGGCGCCAAGCCTAAAAGTCCATTTTAAAATATATAATGAAAAGTGACAGGATGACTCCTTCCGACTAGGTGGCTATCAGAAATTTCTTTAAGGAGACCACATCTAAGACAAATCTGAGCAATGAGAAACAGGCAGCCAGGACCCAGGGCCAAGGACAAGCCAGGGCTCCAAGGAGGAACAGAGAAGGAGGCCAAGTCAGGGGGAGAAATGGGACAAGATGAATCAAAAGTCTCAAAGGAAACAGAGGGGCCAGGCCAGAGTGACTTCAGAGCTGTACTTAAGGTCACTGGAAGGACTTGGCAAGATGACAGAGGCTCTGACCCACGTTTGTTTAAGATCATCCTAGCTGCTGTGGGGAGAGGATGAAGTGGGGCAGATGAGAGAGGGGACAATGGTCACCCCAGAGTGGTCCCACTTCAGGCAGCAAGGGAAGGAGTGCCACCTGGTGAAGGGCTAGGAGCATCCAGAGCAGACAAAGACAAGGAAAGAGGCCTCTACAGTTACAGGAGAAGAGGGGTCTCCGCACAGGGGGGGCCTAGGAAGGCTTCCTGCCCAGCTGACCATCCCTGACTCCTGCCCTTTGGCGCGTTATAGGGGTGTGCCAGACAGAAGCACCTCTCAGTTCAGTCCTGCTCTGCCACTACCCATGAGACACGACCACTTGGGAGTCTCAGTTTCCTCATCTGCAAAGTAGGAAGGTTGTCTACCCCACAGGGGGTCACAGGGGATCACCAAGAGGCAGTTCCTAGCAAGAGTACAGGCCTTCATGCACACTGTCAGCAAGCACTATTCTTATAAGCCAGAATCTAATCCAACACCCCATTTCCCAAATAAGGAAACAGAACAGGCTGTCCAAGCCCTGTCAGGAGAGTGAGCAACAGAACAAGGACAAGACCCGCCCCTCCTGGGCACCTCTCTCTGGCTCTATCCCATTTCCTACTGGACCACATTGGGTTCTGATCACACCAAGGGCTCCCTCATCACCTGCAGTCTCAAAACACCTCTGTGAAAAAGCACATTCCTTGCTCAAAAGTCTCCTGCTTTGGCTCTCCTCACCATCTGGGCACTGGAAACTCCTGCTGTGATGCAGGTGGCAGCCCTGTGGCCCCACCCACCCTCCCAACACCCCCCTGCTGCTCCCCAGCACTGGCTGCCCACCCAGCCAGGCTGGCCTTGCCACCTCTCCAAGCCCCCACCAGAGAGCAACAGCCAGCTCCCATGTCTAAGGTCACAGCCTTGACCACCTGACCCCCCAGCTTTGTCCAAAATGACCCATTGTGTTACAAAATCCCTCAAAATGCATTTTGTTTCAGACACCGGTAAAGAGTCAAGATTTTGTGACACTCTCCAGCTAGATCAGAACCTCCTTCCCGTAGGGTCTGCAATAACCGTCTCTTCCAGCCTTTTCCCCCTTCCTCATATCCCTGAGAGCAGGGCTGTGTGCTCAGAGCCAGCACTCACTGACTCGCTGAAGGAATAAAAACACCTTAGTACAACCATTACATTTGGAGATGAGCCTTTTCATCAACCAAAGATATGAAAAATACACCAGGAGCTCATTTTTAAAAGTACCCTGATGGCAAAAGTGAGTAACTGCTTCCTTTTGGAAAGCGTCATAAAATCTCTCTCATGCAAACCAAATGAAAAGTACCCATCTCTCAATTAGAAGATACTGAGGCGTCTACTCCAGGCTTCTGGATAAAAACATAAACCATCTTTGCCCTAATTTGCTAAATCTTGAAATAAATGCAAACACTGGCTCCAGCATTCCAGAAAGCCCCGCATTTCCTTTTTAGCTTAACCCAAGACCACCGTTTTCCAATGAAGGTGAGTTGACTTCAGCCCACTTCTTCAATTTGATTCCGAAGGGGCCTGTTGTTAAAATCAGAAAAAGAGCAGCAGCTGGAGACTCCAGTTGCTTCCAGAACAAGCTTTATTTAAATTCCAATTCCTGAAAGTCACCCTGTGGAGAAGTACCTAGCCGCCCTCCGTCATGACACAGGAGTAAAATTTACTGTCAGGACGATTCCCAACAGGTCAGTACACCTACACAGACATGCAAGGGAAAGAAAATCAAAATGAGGAGATTTCTCCATAAATTAGATTCATCCATCAAAGGTCCTACATCTCAAAATCCAACGAGAGTTGCAACGTCAGCTCAGAGAGCCACACTTCACTGCTCTACAACAACAAAAAGAAATTCCAATTTCCTCTTTAGCGCTCAAATAGATAATACAAGATTTTTACTCACCTTTGGAGCGAGTAGAGATATCCATGCCCTCTACCACCTCCTGTTCTGTTTTTATTTCCTCTTCAGCCAAGCTGAAACAGAGCAAATTATGTTCATGTTTAGGTGGGCTGAGACGGTGCCACATGGGGGCAGCTATTTGGAAGTTCTAGCAAGAAACCCACCTTTAAGACATTCCCCCATACTTACTGGGGAGGCCCACAGCTGATTTCAACAAATTGTTAAGACTCCTCAAGGAGTTTTTTAAAACACTACAGTGTCCCTTTTTTTTTTTTTTTAAAGTCAAATTACTATTCCAGTTGTCATGCTATTAGGGGATGCAAAAGGCCTTTTTTTAGACACACGATTATCATCTACCCCAGTGGGCCAATGAGAACCCAGCCTTCAAATAAGTAAAGTTTCTCACTGTTAACACCCGGGTTCAAAGGCAAGTGGGTCAGAGGTGTTTTGTGGAGGACCTCCAGTTCTGATCTCTTAATTCTTCAAGGCAAAGAGTATTTCCCAGACCTCCCCTCTAAATCTTTAAAGTGAGACAGGAACGTGAATAAAAGATACAGGTTAAATTACAAAGTAGAAAAATACGCCCAGGCAAGAAGCTAAAATAAAAACCCGGTCTTAAACCATTCACATAAGAAGCATTTATCCCCAAGAATTAAGGTTGGGATCTCCACAGTTCCACCCCTGAACGTTTCCTCTCTGTAACAGGCATGGCCTACTACTGAGTTATGACTAATGCTCCCCCACCACAAAAGTGGAATGAGGAAGAATTATTTAAATGGCACAAGGCTGTTGAGCTGAGGATTGGGGAGAAAAGCAGGTTCCTCTGCTGGGAAGTCTATCATCCAGAACTTTCCTCTCTCCCTCTCTCTGCTGGAACTTGAGTTGAACAGAGAGCAGGTCCTTTCAGATCTTCCCCTCACAGAAAACCTCACAAGCTAAAACCAAAGGAAGAACTGAAATAAACTTCTGCTTCTATTGGTGCGAATGGTTTGGGGTGCCAGAGCTTTCCAAACATTCAGGCTGACACTGAAGTGATTAAGAATCTGAGCATTCACTGTAGATGCAATTCCATCAGACTGCGGTTCAGCGAGAAGAAATGGGTGCATCACCAATTGATACGGCTGGAATTTTCCATTTGGAAGACTCAAAGGCAGGGCAGGAAGGAGGAGGCTGAGGAGAGAATGTCCCGTCTGTGTTCCGTGGTCTGGGACTGCAATGAGGCAAAGGACAAGTCCAAAGAGGCGGCCTCAGGCCTGGAACCCGAACCCCCGTGTAAGATGGAGATGTGTTTAGGAGAGTTCCACGTGGCTGGTTGGGAGAAGAGGATTCAGGATGGGAGCTGGATAGAAAGGAAAAGATTATAGCTCAGAATTAAATTACAGGCAGGCGCTTGGAAGCCTCAGACTTAACTAGTCCCAGTAGAAAGAAGAAAGGAAGGTAATTAGGGTTGTAATCAGAATACTAACACCTTTAGCATTCTGATACTGAACCCCCTCAGCAATTTCCTTTACACACAGTATCTGCAGATAAAACCTAAACCAAAAAATGTAAAAAAAAAAGTCGCCAAAGAAACAATTGACATGTTGTCACCCATGGTTTTCATCAGAAGAAAGCAGCCTGCTAAACTTAAAACACTTCACTTATAAGCAACAATATGACCGATTCATTGAAGATGATTTTAGCACTAATACTTTCTACTCCAACTTAAGTGGAAAAACTTCTCCACTCAGAAACACACTCTGCCTGGACAGGTCATCTAACTGGACGCTGTTGACAGGTTCTTGCTCAGGGTGACTGGGAAATAAATTTGAACAAAAAGCCCCCCATAGCCCTCAGAGATGGGTAGATGGTTAACTTCAAAAGAACAAACAGCAATCTTCATCTTTCTAGTAACTTGAATCGTTTCCCTCCCTCTCTAGCATGAAGTATGTGAAATCCTAAACTTTTTGAAACCAATCCCCTATTTTGAGTGACAGAAAAAAAAAAGCTAATCTGGGATCCAACTAAAATGTACAGTGGTGGTAAAGGAAACAATTATGTATGACTGAGCCAAAAAAACCCACTGCAAGGATTTCTGCAGCGATGAAACATTCAAAGGTGTATTGATCTTGGGGGAGGGCTGCATTCAAGAGAACAATTATTTGGCTTGTAACAGCCTAGAGGAGCTGAATACTTCAGGCAGAAATGCTGCTGAGAGGGGAAGAAAATGCAAACTAGTTATGTGGTGGCTATTTGCTGCTGAGTTTAAGATAATCAATTCTGGAGCCGAGGGAGGGGGAAGTTAAGCTGTTTTATCTTTCCAACTATTACAAGTGGGCACTGTAATCACCTAACTTTAGCAATAGCACCACCACTTTACAGCCCAAATTTCAAGCACAATTTAAGAAAACCCATCTTTTTCACAGATCAGGAATCCATCCATCCTTTCAAAAGGAACCCGTGCACCTACATGCATGCGCATGGGCGCACGCGCATGTATGTGTGTGTGTGTGTGTATGTACACACACACACAAAAAAAAAATCTTGCATTTGACTAAAGGAAACTGCAGTGTCTATGCATTAAAAGGAGGTAAAAAAAAAAAAAAAAAAAAAAAAAAAAACTTCGTTTACAAAAGCAGAGACCAGAATGCAAAATTAGTCATTTTGAATACCCACATCTAAAGAAACTTCCTTTTTCTACACCACTGATCTCTCTTTTATTTTTTTGGTTTAGTGCTAAGAACTAGTGTGTTGTTGGGGAGAGGAAACTATGAATATTACATCAAAAGTGATGGCAACAAAAGATTTGTACCTATCAAGATCTGCCCCACAGTTCTTGGTCTATTTAAGAACTGTTCAGTCATGGCGGGGGGGGGGGTCAAATAATAATTATTAACAAGAAAAGACAACTACATCTGGGAAAAACACTTTGAAGTTCTGTCATCAACACACATTCACACACTAGGGTCTTAGAAAACATAACAGCTTCTCCAAATCCGCCACCTTCCAGCAACCCTGACCATCTAAATCAAAAACAATGGGACAAACAAACCCTTGTTTCAAACTGACATTACTTTTGTTTTTTTCTTTAAAGGTTCTGATGAGAAGACAGGGTACCCCCCTTCTTCCTAAAGAAAAAGCTGAAAACTATAAACCACCTCTCACCCCAACAGGAAGATACCCCACCAATTAGTTATATACATTGTATACACTACCACCACTTCTTACAAGTCACCTGCCTGTGGATTTCACAAACTGACATTTCAGGTAATTTAAAGAAAAAATAACAGTGCCTGCAAACACAACCAAGACCATCCCATCCAGTCCCCCAAAGAATAAAAGATTTCTTTCCCTCAATGCCTGAGCAAGAAAGCCTCTGCTTATTTCTCATCCTGCATGCACTAAAAAAAGAGCAATTAAAAGTTGCAGATGAACTGCTGCACCTCCAGGACGCTTTAAGCCTTCTGATTATTAATTCTGAGGACTCAGGGCTGGTCCGTAATTCCCAGGAATCTCATCCCCAACACTTGCAAAAGAGGAAAAGAAAAAAGAAAAGCATCTAGTTTTGGAAAAGGAAAAAAAAAAAAAATGCCTGGATACACAATGCCCAGATATTTCTTTTCCCCAAGTGCTCCATGCCCTTACTGACTTTTAACGAAGAATATCTAAACCCATCTAGCATACATAACCGACATGCACAAGACTCTGGTTCTACAGATGAGGATCATCACACAGCAATTCAAGAATCATGCATCATTCGAAAGGACTTTTCCTGGGTTTTACTTTCATTCAAAATACCAAAATGGTCCAGGCTGTAAGAAATACTTAATCCCCAAGGCACAACATCTTCCTCTTGCAGATCACAAAATAGTTAACATCAAAATAAAAAAAGAAAACATGCTTCCTTAAATCTGCAATTAATTTTTTACAAAATTTGGGAGGGGGGGAGGGAATGGTTAGCAGAGCAGCTTTATATAAGCACTCACCTAAAACAGGCAGAGTCATCGGTAGCTAAGCTATTTATGCAGGATTCTTAAAATGGCGTCTGGCAACACTGCCTCATTCCTGTATTGAAGCTAAAATGGTAGCAGTTTGTTCAATAGCTGTAGCTCTTGTTTGAGCAGCCCTGCTAGTTTCAAAGCCACCTTCCTAAATATCTGCACTAGGAAAAGCTCAACCAAGGGATATCAACAATCCAACGTTTAGAAGCTTAAAAAAAAATCTGCAGTGTGACAAGGGGACTTTGTGAAGTCACAGGTTCCTAAGGAAAAGCCTTCTCTTTTAGATCTTGAGCTTTCCACATGAGGCTCTATGATGAGGCCCCACTGCCCTCAAATTAGGTGGGCAGAAGGTAAGAACTGTGCAGCCCCCATGGTAGAAAATGCAGACAGACAGGTGTCTGTGCAAACACAAAAATGCTCCTAGGGAGCAGCCTGGGGGTGAGAGGGAGAGGAAGCCTGTTCCCCCTTCTCGGTCTACTAGAAACCAGCTTTGTTTGCATCCATACCAAAAAGGAGCTAGGGGAGGTAAAATGAAAGTGCTTCAAGAACACCAGACATCTAAAAAACCAAGCTAAAGGGCTGCACCTCAGTCTCAGGCCAAGGTAAAATAAAAAGGCTATTTGTAAGCCTCTCAACAGCCACCAAATACCCAGCCCTCTGAAGCAGCCAGTCCTAAGAGTTAACATCAAGGAAAGACAATCTGAGCCTGCAGAGGAGAAATACAAGTAAAACATCCCTTATGCAATGCACAGGATACTCACAAATTAGATTTTTGTCCACTCCCAACAGGGCCCTGAGAATTAACAATGAGTTTTGCAAAACCTGCTCTTAGAGGCCGAACTAACAGCCTCATAGTGGATAATGCAATTTACTGTTACAGGTCTGAGAATTGGCTTCAGAAGTCTCTAATGCTGAGAGTGGGGAGTTTCAAGGTGACTGCTTTTTAGCTCTAGGGGAGAAAGGAGGGCACGCTGCCCAAGGCCATGCCAGGGCAAGGACAGGCTACTGGCCCTGCGCCGGCCGGTAGGTAGGTAATCGTGATGAGGGTGGAGGGGTGGCAGCCTGCTGGCTGCAGAGCTGGCATGGCCACTGTCTGCCTGTTTGTCTGCAAGGAGAGCAGGGCGGGGGAAGGGCAACCACAGTCTTGGCAACCTGAAGCCAGGGGTGAATCCTTACTCATTTTTGCATTTTAACAGCAACCAAAGGGCTTCTAAAATTATTCCCTTTTTAAATCTCTGCTGTGGGATGTATCTTTGAATGTATCTTTCTTTTCAGGGTCAACCAGAGGCAAAGCTCCATCTAGGGCTCCCAGGCTGACAGATGTTTGCTGCCTCTGCCACAGGAGACAGAGGGGAAAGAAGGCAAAAGAAACAAAGAGATCATATATTTGAAGTGGTTGGACTTTTAAAAACCTACCTTTGCCTTCAGGGTTTTCTAGGTTACCGTCACCCCGCTTTCTGAAAAGTGTTTCCCCCCCTTTTCCCCACCATTTCTCCCAGGGAAAGAAAAGGGGGGAATGTTTTGTTTAAAAGAATAGGGGTTACAAGAAAGAAAGGAAAAAAGCTATTGTTTTCATCCCTAATTTATAATCCAAGAGGCCCCATGGTTTCTCTCTTTCTGACTCAAATCTTTGAGCTGTTAATTATAAAAGTAACTGGACTTGGCTCCAACGGGCTAACTACGTTCATGCTCAGCAATTAGAAAAACTCTGTAGAAAGTTTACGGAGTGATTATATATAATTAATTCCTAGTTACAGACTGAACACTGACCATTTTCTGGAGCTAATAAAAGCAGTTACTCCCCCTCCCCCACGTGAATGCCACTTAATTTCCCAAAGCAGAAAGTGAATCCATCCTGGAGGGTCTTGAAGGAAAAAAAGAGAGGGAATCAAAAGCTCCAGTGTGTCTGTGTTTGTTCCTTGCAGCTGTGCATCCTCTTTGGGGACTGGGGAGGCAGAAGGAAAAAGGAAAACAGCCCAACCTTCTGTTCCTCCCTGTGCAATTTACAAATGTGCCACAAGAGAACATTCTACCTTGATGAGAAAAAAGGGGTTGGGGGGAGATGCCCTAGGAATGGAATGTAGGAGGCTCTTCAACGTGGTAGCTCTGCTTTTCCTAAAAGGAACAAAGATGGTAGAAATTTCCAGAAGGCCCATTCTCCGTCCAGCCACTCCAATTGTCAATCTTTAACCTTTCCTCCGAGTCTATTGGTTCAAAAGCTACAGAGAGGAGCCCCACTGGGCTGCTCTGGGAACCAGGACTGCTACCCCTACCTAGTTAGTCTTGCTGCAATGCAGAACATTTATTTTTTTGCCTTTTAGAGAAAATGAAAAATAATGCTACTTGCAAAGTAATTAACTTTTTACAGACCCATGCTAAGTGGTGGCCACAGTACCAAAGGGAAAGTGCCTAGCTTGGTCCAGGGCTGGGAACTTCCTGGGGCCACGCATTTTAAAACAGATCTTGGCTTTCCAAACCTGTGGGAGCCATTTTAATGCATGCTTTTAGAGGACAAATGCCTTGCCCTTAAGTTCCCTTCCAGCCCAACAAACACAGTATTATGCAAACGTTGAAGGCACCAAACCAGGAGTCTTGTGATTAGATATTGCTTCTAGGAAGGCCACAAGAACCTCAATGTGTAATTTCCATTTACAGCAAAGAGATAAGAACAAAGAAAATAGCTGAGTATCCGAACTTACTTCTGTGGGCTAGTGGCACTATTCAGGTTTTGAAGTATATAACATCCAAACTGCCTGCACTTGTACTCTAAGAAGCTGGCCTGCCTAACAGACTTTTCTCATCCTAGAATTTGGTACATTTCCCCTGATTAAATGAGCTTTTTTTCCAAGGGGTGTCAAAAGGTGGGTTAGTGGACACTACCTCAGAAGAAAACAAGATTACTGATTCCATAAAGTTGGCAGAACACAGCAACTGAGTATGTTTCCACTTACAGTCATGCTGGACTGGTCCCCAAGCTGGAAATTTATGTTGTGAACTTCTAGGGAAATACTGAAAGTAATGCTAAACAAGAGTCTATACTTTTTCCACTTTTAAATTCTAGCTGCAGCATTCAGAGATCAGGGGAAATGTTAAAAGTGAGAAATAGATCGTATCTAAGACCAGCATGCATACAGATGTGTGGGTGAGGCTTGGGAAAAGGCTGAATCTGTTGATCAGTGAGTCCTGAATCAAACCAAGTTTGGTGGTAGATGGGATTTTGCACTGTGTGTTAAGCATCCTGAAACATGAACTGACACCATCACCACCAGCAGCTCCTCCCCCACCAATGTTTTTAGGGCTCTGCCTCTTAAGAACAAGCAGTTTTCACTGCCATTTCACCAGCAGGTCACCTACCCAAAGTTGTGATAACCAAACAAACACCATTAAAGGTCCAGACTCAAGTCACAATGAACTGAACGTTTCTCCCCTGGCTTGGAGAAGGAGTGTAATCTTCCATCCTAGCTGCAGGTAATAAGGAAAAACAGTGGATTCAAACACTCACCCAAAATCAAGACACTCTTTAAAAAGCCCTTATTTTGTTCCTGCAAATGAAGCCCCCACTGCTGTAGCCAAGACCCTTATTACAAACAGACCCCAAAGGTTCACAAAACTCTTTCTACATGGTCACCGAGGAAATGGATGGCTTTACTTACCCAACAAATGTTCAAGCAACCATCTCCTTTTTCCACAGTTAGGAAGAGAGAACAAGCTGGCAGATTTGGGACTTGACCAAAAACGAAATTGTTTTTGAACAGTTATTAAAAAAACACAATCACACTACCACAACCCAACAACTGAATATGGAATGCTGTCATGAGCCACAACCATGATTTTGTTTCCTCTGCACTCTATCACAGGAGGGCAGAGGATGATACAATGTAAAAAGGGGAGGGGGGGACAGGAAAATGAAAACAAAAATAAAAGATACCATTAGTTCATGGAAATCATGCAAGAGGAGAACGCTAAGGGACTCAAAGAGTCCTCACATTTTTGTTTGGAGGATGTTGTCCAAGATTTCTCTTCCCCCCACCACTAGCACCACTCCTTAATCCCCCATCCCTACTCCAAAAACTTCCTCCAAAGCCTAGAAAACACTTTTAGAGACATTTGCTGGCTGTAGGCTGGCTTGCAGAAGAACACTCTGTTATCAGCCTAAGTCAGGAAAAAAGGCTGAACAATGTAGTTTCAAGAGAAGAAGCCCTGTAGGATGAGAAAAGACCATGTACAGACACCACCACCCACCTAGGCCCCAGGAGCCACTCTCTCCTTAGCCCTGCTCTGCTAGGGCTGGGTTCTTTTGCAAACACACGTTCTCTCTTGTCAGAACTTAGTCCAGCCTTCCCAGAACCTCTCTGGAGAAGCAGACTTGCCTGCTCTGCTGCCTGCCATGAGCTCTCCTTGAAGAGAAGCCTGCCTGCTTACCTTCCATTTTCTTCCCCCAGCAGGCATGTGGCACAAGAGAAGACAATAGTGCAAGGGGGGTGGGACTGCTCAGAGAGGGAAAGAGAGGAAGAGAGGGAAGGGGGGAGAAAAAAAGGACAAGGGGGGGAAAAGATTCTTTTTTTGGCATACCAGGATCTAGCTTCAAACTATTCCAGAAACACCATGCCCTGGTGGAAGAAAAGGTGTGCCAGGCCCTTGCCAGTTTGCAAAATCAAGCTATGGCTAATGGCTACTTAGCCATGTGACCCAAGAAAGCAAAAAAATTCTCTCTAAACAGTTTCAAGTTAACATAAGTGCTCTGGGGGTGAGTGTGGCACGGCCAGCCACAGAGAAATCACACTGCTCGCCCACAATTCGGATGTCTCAGAGGGAGGGGGGAAAAAGATGGTTAAAAAGTCGAGCTTACCTCTGTGGATGCATTGTTAACACTGTGTAATGTCAATACTTATAAAACATGGAGGACAGGCTCCTAGTTCTCACAGAAAAAGGGTTTGGCACTTCGGCTGATGATCTGGCCGCCTAATAAAAGCTCATCCCCGATTGGCTGCCCCGGCAAATCCAACTGTAAAGCCGCCCCGGATTGGCTGAAACACTTCCTGAGCGATTATCTTTGTGAGGCTCGGGTGAGCAAGAGCCATCCTGTGCATAGAAAAAGACAGGCTAAGCTAGGCCTTTCTCAGCGAGAAAAACTTGGGAAAGGGGTCCCCGCACGCACTTCTCCCACACCCTGGCTAGATCTCCCGGCACGAGCAAACCAGTGCAGCCAGCCTGACCTGCTCCAGCAAAGCCTGAGGCCCGGATGCCCCTGGGAAGAGGGTTTCTGGGGTTGGCTGGAAGGGCTCAGCCTCACCTGCCCCCGCAGAAGCACCCCTGTTCTAAGCTGCCAGGCTAGTCCTTTTCTAGGACAGTCAGCAGAGTGACTGTCCAAGGGGAAGGGGAAGGGGAAGCCGGGGAGAGAAAGCCCCAGGGAAGAGGCCAAGAGGGTGAGCAGAAAGGGCCTGAGGCAGGCCTCGGAGGAGCTGAGTTTGCACAGGCAGCGCAGGAGGCCCCTGGAAGGGCGCAAAGAGCAGCCTGGCTCCTCAGCAGAGTCGCCGCGCTGCTGCTGCTGCTACTGCTGCTGCTGCAGGGAGGAGGGGACCAGAGTGGTCAGGTTTGCACAGTCATTGTCAAAATGCCTCCAGGGAAAGCAGGCCAGGGGAGCCATTAGCCTCTCGCCCCCCTCGGGCAGTCCTCAAAGGGAATCCACACAGGGCTCCTGCCTCCCTGCCAGGATGCCAAGAGGGGGTCCCTCTCTGTCCTTACCCTAAGAGAAGCCAAATGCGCTGCTAGCAGGCCAGAGGCCTGGACCTACGAACTTCCCGGCCCCTCCCCCACCTCGAGGCCTGCTAAACCTGTCAGTTAAACAAAACTCTGACTTCCGTATTAGTCTGCGATGCCTTCGGCTTCCTGCCTGTTAACCCTCTCTCGGACTAGGGGCCTGGCTGGAAAAAACTAGGCCCTGAGATCGCAGAAAAGGCCTGTGGAAAAATACCAGCTGCAGCTCTCCCGGCAGATGCAGAAAGAGAGAGAGGAGCTGCTGTCTCTCGCCTTTGCTTCCCAAGGAGGCGTGTACCTTCTGAATCCAGGGCACAGGCAGTGCCTCTCGGGCTGAGAAGCCATTGAAATCCAGAGGGAGGGAGAGTGATGGCAAACTCAGCGAGCAAACAAGAAGCCCCATTATTAGTCAGGCCTACACCCACAGGTTAGCCCTTCCTGCCACCGTCAGCCCGGCGTGTGCGCCTGGGGAACCCGACTCTGCGGTGGGCAGACAGATCCCAAAAGCTTCACAAGGATTCCTGCTTCCATTTATTTGACGGTTTCTTTTCATCCTCTAAAGGCAGATGGAACAGCCATGTCGCACACAGCCCTATGCATTGCACCCCCAGCCCACTCTGGCCCCCATCTCTGGCGCTGCTCCCCTGTAAAACATTAACTACTTGTACAGAGTTGCTTATAATAATGCCCATTTCCAGGGTATTAGCAGGTCTTTTTTGCCTGTTTCCTCCTTAAACCTGCCTTTGTAGTTGGTCTGTGCCCAGAGAAAGAAGAGGATCTTAAAAATGTCCAAGCTTGCTTTCTTTCCTCCTACTTTTTTAAGCGACAAGGTGTTTAATGAGATTTTTTAAACAGCAAGCTGGACCAACAGAAGCTAAATAAACACCATTGTTTAGAGGCTGGAGAAGGCTCCCAGAGTTGATGCAGCCATATGCCGGGAGGTAAAACTATATTTGGAGCAATAAAGTCTCCCCTCTCCTCCTAAAATTAGGACTTGTACTTGGGGACTTTTGTGTCCCACACTGTTGCCACAAAGAAAACCAGGAATTGATGGCCTGCCCTTCCTGCCTGCCCCCTCCCTCAGCCCCCTCTACTCCCCACCCCCAACACATGGACAACGGATACCTACTGCATTGTCCATAAATTCTAAATTCCTCCTGGCTGGGAATCTTTATATCAAACAGGATCAGGAATGAGCCAGGATTCCAAACACGCCACTGCAGAGCAAGGCCCAGGCTTTATAGTTGTTGTTGTTACAGGCCAAGATGCAGGGAGGGACAACTCCCATGGCCAACCAGCCAGCCAAAGGTCCAGCACTCAGGACAACAGGCCTGGGCCTCAACAGAAAGGAGGGGCCTTCCTTTCCTGGAGGTGGAACCTATACAGGGAGACTAAATGGGGTACAAGGGACGGAGGCCACATCTGACCCGCCTGTTCTCCCTCTCCCAGCTGTGTGAGCAGCAGCCCTCCACCAGGGTTCCATATGGCTAGTTTGTTTCCATGGATGTTGCTCTGGGATGTTGCAAAATGAAAACAAGACCATGGGGTGGGTAGAGGACCTGCCTGCAATTCACTCCACGACCCAATGAGGAAATGAAACATGCCCTGGTGCAGTGTGGTGGATTTTAACCTGGGATTAAAGCTTGTTGCATAAGCAGCTGCAGCGTCCTCCCCCTCCCCCTCTCCCGTCCCTCCTCCCTCTCTGATCACTTGATCACTAGAAATGTTTTCTGGGGCAAAGAGCAGGAAGCTGCTGGCTTATTCTGGCAGCTCTGCTCTGTTTGGGGAATGCTATTGGTATTCGGGTAGGTCTGGGTTATCTGGAAAGTGGCAATTCGGCAGGGGACAGAGACCAAAGCGTGGTGGCAGATGGAATCCTGGGAGGAAGACAGATTGAAAAGAGAAGCCTGGGGCAGGCCGACTAAGGCCCAACCAAGGGTTTGATGGAATGTGGCTGATAAGCAGGCAGTATAGAAAACTGAATGTTGCAGGCCTCAATCTACAGACCCAGTCCATGGCTCTTCTTAAAGCCCCACAAGAGCCATGGAAATGAGTAGCCCCAGCAGCTATTACCAAATCAGTGCTTTACATAGACTGACTGCATGAGGCAGGGAGGATTGTCAGAAACCTGGAACTGGGCCCACAGAGGTAAAGGGAGCTGCCCAAGGTCACACAGCTGGCAAGTGCCAGAGATCACACTTTTCCAACCCAGTTATGACTTCATATCCTTAGACCCTAGACCTCCACCTGCCTCTAAAAGAAAACAAAAACAAAGCTGAATGAAGCAGAGCAGAAACATCAGGTTAAAGCCTACAAATGGCCACTGTATGACCTGTATTTTCCTTTAGGAGGCTGACTCTTCAGATGGGTTTTAAGCACTGAATAACAGCTGGGAGAGACTTTTTAGATTAGATTCATTCAAATCTCATTACAGAGTGAGGCCCAGAGAAAGTTCCCCTCTTCCTACAAACCTGCAATCAAGTTTGCATCTCCAAAATTAAGTTTTTATATTCCCTGAAACCAGTGGATCTTAACCAGGGGCAAATCTGCCTCCTAGGGGACATTTAGCAATGACTACAGACTTTTGGTTTTTCACAACCAGGGGCATTGGTACTACTGGAATTTAGTGAAGGCTAGGGATAGTGCAAAACATCCCTCCTACAGGACACCTCCCCAATGAGGAATGATCCAATCTGAAATGTCCACAGTGCCAAGGTTGGGAAACCCTGGCTTAGATGAAACGGAAGAAAAAATTTCAAATCATTGTACTTCTAGATAGAAAAGTCAACACAAGTCTAAACAAGCAGGTTCCTTGGTGATATTAATAAGCAATGAGCTAATAAAAATAGATTAAAATATGTCTCTGTTAGTATCCCCATGGGGGCAGGGAGATTGGGGTGGGGGGAGAGACGGACACAATCAAGCTGTAGGAAGCCAGGCAGAGTGTCTGTTGCAGAAATAATGCTGGTCTCAAAGGAGAGGCAAGGATGGCCCCAGCTCCCTTCCCCAGGCACCTTCCTATCCTGGGCCTGGCCTTGCTGAAATGGCTCCAAGCGCGCTGGCCAGCCGCCAGGCAAGCAGCAGGAGGACTGCCCCCAGCCCGCTGCACGCCCGAGATAGCCTATTAGGCTGGCTAGGGAAATAAGCACACTTGGACTTATCTGCTTCAAGCTAGCAGCAGGCCTCTCTGTCTTTTGTAGGAAAAGGATAGGATTGAGGCAGGGCAGTGTTTTTAAATACCTCCTTTTGTTTTGTTCCTTTTGGACCAACTAGAACTGGGGCTAACTTCAGGACTCTGTTGAGGCACACAGGGATCCTTCTTCCTCCCTTGTCCCTCCCTCAGGGAAGATATTCTACTCTGAGAGGGGTGTGTGTTTCTTTCCTTCTTTCCAGGAAAGACTGGCAGGATTAGGCAAACCAGAGGAAAAACAGAAAGGGCCAGGGGGTATGATCTCTGCCCCACCAGGCAATTGGCCACTGGGGCACGAGTGGGGAGGGAAGATGTGAAGGACTCAAGAGCAAAATGAAAATCAGGAGGAAAACTCAGGACCTGCTCTCCCTAAGAATGACTTATGGACAGGAGACTACATATTCGTTTGTTCTGTTTGTTTCTCTCTCCCACTACTCCTGTGGTTCTCAAGGGGGCAACTGGCAATTTCTGGAGATCTTTTGAATTGTCACATCTGGGGGCCAGGGGATACTGGTACCCTGTGGGTAGAGCCAAGGATGCTGCTGAACATCCCACAGTGCACAGGACACCCCCCACAACAGGGAGTTAGCCAGCTCCAAATGTCAGTAGCACCAAGTTGCAACATCCTGTACTGGACTGAGAGTTTGCCAAGGCCGGGACTTGTCCAAATTCTTCCCCATCATGTCCTCACAGTCCAACACATGCCCCACAGGTATTGGAGTTCACCTCCCGACTTGGATGGTTGTAAGAGTGTCCTATCTGAGCCCTCTGTTCCTGCCCTTGCTAATGCTCAAACACGTGCATTCAAGCTTTCACATACCCTGTACCACACAGGCTGTCAGTGACCCTTTTAAAACACAAGTCAGATCCTTTGCTCAAAATCCATCAGTGACACACATCTCACTCCAGGTAAAAACTCGAGTCCTACAAATGGCCCACTAACTTTCCACTGGCTCAGTCAATCTCCTCCCCCCATGGCTTA